ACTGAAATGCATAATGCTTGTTTGAACCCAGTTTACCAAACAACTTGGGTTGGGCTCTCTGTCTCAGCAACCTGTCCTCTTCACTATTTATCACTCTCCCAATCACTGTGTCATATCAGTGTATCAGTAATAAAAAAATATGCTTTTCTTCCAAGTCACTCATAATATAATAAGCAAAGGACCAAAAAGACCCCCTGCAGGACTCCACATCAGCTCAGTGACAATTCCTCATTTAGAATTACAGTTTGAGTCCTAGCAGCTAGCCAGTCTTTAATCCATTTAATGTAGGCCATCTTGATTTTGTATTAAATCAAACTGTTGTGCTACACCAAATTAAATGCCTTACATCAACACTATTAAGCTTTACTGGTATCTTTTTTAATAAAATACAAATCTGGTTGATAATCTCATTAAAGAGTGACAAATCTGTTACATTAGTGAGCACACAGAATTTCATAGGGTTAATGTAAAAAATATGACGTATTAAAAACTAATCGTGCAGTCAGATTTTACATTGCAGTTTGGTTAAGTTTAATAATTGTAATATATCAACATAATGGACCCCAAAGCACTTAAAATACTTTATAAATATGTGCCATATAGTAATCACTCCATCTACCACTGAAATGCAGCTACCTCTGAGGTCAACACAGCAACTGTCCCAGTGCTCAAGACCACCACACAACACTTTAGGCTAGGAAGCAGAGAATACTTTTTTTCCAATTGAAACTACATTGGGAATTTTGAAAACTCAATTACTCAAACAATAGAAAGGGTAGAGGAGATGGTGATTAAGGGTACAGAAACTATTTAATTTAGCTGCAAAGTCTTATAGTCTTGCATCTCATCTTACTTTAATACTGAGTTTTCAATCTAATTCACTATTCTCTGCATCCTTAAGTGCACTCTGAGTGGCTCAAATAGATTTACAAAAGCTTTATTTGTTTATAATAGATCCGTATCTTTTGCCAACCATTTTCATAGGGTTTGAATTTATATTCTGGAACAGACATTCAGAGAGAGTTAATGCATATGGCTATCTCAGACTTTAAAGGGGAAAAAAGGTTGATTTGATGTTACCGAACAAGATTTGCAATCATTTCTGTTTCAAATTAGTAATGAGCGGATCGTACAAAACCAAGTTTGTATAGTAACCGTCATACAAAAGGTTATCAGAGTGCTGTACAAAAAAGAAATTCAAGGCTGGCTGGCATCAATCCAGAAAGAGCTATTCTAAAAAGCCATCCATTCACATATTAGAAAAGACTAAATCACATTGCTAGGATTAATTCCCTTCAGAAGAAAGAGTTCCACATCCAAAGTGCTGCATTACTAATGCTCTTCCTCTCTCCTGAAACATGTTATTGCTAAGATATAAGAGGTTACTGAGCTCACCGCTGTGTTTTCAAAGCACTCTAAATTTTTGCTACAAATCTGGTGTTTCACTAGCAACCACTGCAGAGTCTTAAGAGTAAGTGGTCTATGTGCTCAGGGTTTTGTACCTGTGAGTATTCCTGCAGCTGGGTTCCATACAAGCTACTGTTCAGACACAAAGGACAGAAGGGACCATCATGATCATCTAGTCCAGTGGTTCTCAACCTTTCCAGATGACTGTACCCCTTTCAGGAGTCTGATTTGTCTTCCATACCCCAAGTTTCACCTCAATTGAAGGACTACTGGCTTACAAAAATCAGACATAAAAATACAAAAGTGTCACAGCACACTATTACTGAACAATTGCTTACTTTCTCATTTTTACCATGTAATTAAAAAATAAATTGATTGGAGCCTGTTTTTCCACTTGCTGAGCCTTGTCTGAAGCTGGAATCCTGGATAGCAAGGCTGGAGCCCGAGCCCCACTGCCCGAGGCTGAAGCATGTAACTTAGCTTCGCGGAGCCCCTGTGGCATGAGGCCCCAAGCAACTGCCCAGCTTGCCATCCCTTAACACCAGCCCTGCACTTGCAACCCCCTAAACCCATCGCGCAACCCCTCTGGGAGTCGCAACCCCCAGGTTCAGAAACACTGATTTAGATGAGTTGAGTACCCCTCGAAAACTTCTGTGTACGCCTGGTTGAGAACCACTGATCTAGTCTGACCTGCATATTGCAGGCCACAGAACTTGCTCACCCAGCCCTGTAATAGACCCATAACCTCTGGCTGAGTTACTGGAGTCCTCAAATTATGATTTAAAAGTCTTCAAGTTACAGAGAATCCACCATTTACACTAGTTTCAAGCTGAAAGTGACCCATGCTGCAGAGAAAGGCAAAAAATCCCTGGAGTCTCTGCCAATATGACCCAGGGAAAATTCCTTCCTGACCCCAAATATGGTGATCACTGCTTGAATATGATACTCAAGATTTTACACAGGATCTAGTCAAATCTGAAATTTCTTTCATCAGAGACAAATTTGTTTTTATCTCAAGAAAAGGAAAAGAGTATTGCAGTTAGGTGTTAATCAATACTTCATTCTCCTCTGACTTAAAAAACCCTCACATCCATGATTTTTGGTTTTTGCATTCATGTGACCTATGAAAAGCAGGTACTCAAAACGGGTGTCTGAATCTTCAGTGTAAAAGTTATAATTAATATTTTGATAATAGAACATCTCACCACATAGTACTTAAAGAGTTTAGTTTTTTATTTTTTTTTTAAATGGTAATGGGCCAACATGCAGACTTGGGAAATTCCTAAAAGACCAGAAGCAGGAATGGAGCTACATCTTCCAGTTTTAATAAGCCTGAACTGCTATGTTACAAACAAATGCTAGACCTGCATAACATTCACGTTTGTGTACTCCTCTGGAAGAAACCCGGTGTTCTAGTACAGGATTGAAGAATTCAGTAACCACATTTCAACTGTGCAAGTAATAATGGCAACTTGTAACATTAATAATAGTAAGATCTCAGTTAATAATTAGGTTAATAGTTATCCTGCTGATGAAGCTGTGAAATGTGACAGGCTTTCCAGCAATTGGTCTTTGCTACCTTTATGAGACCCCAGGGAACATAAGTCAAAACCTCATGATTAATGTGTAAATAATCAAAACCATAATTATTTTGATATTGACTACGGAAAACCAATGTAGCCAGAGGAGTGTAATTTCATAATGCAGTGGACCTCACCTTCTACATCACTGAAACACAACAGTTCCAACAATCAGGCTATTGAGCTAGTGCCTCACTGTGCCTAGGTTTATTGAACCTAGAGTTTTTTGGCAGAAAGTTGACATTTCTTGTTTTTGGACAGTATTTCTGAGCAACATCTCAACTTAAGTTTTGGCAAAATACCATGCACAATTTAATTTATAAAAGTAGCACAGAATGCTGCTATTAGATGTGCCTGGAGATACTACTTAAGCACCCGCAAGGCAAGCGGGAGCCCTAAATCGCATGCTAAGTAACTTCATAAGTAGCCTCACTGAAATTAACAGGACTACACGTGAAGTAAGATACTACATGAAATAAAGGTGGCAAAACCTGGATTTGCGCAAATAGTGTGGGAGAAAATTTGTCACCAGATTACTTTTTGGGAATTTTGAAGTCCAAAGACTAATCTGCTTTCTAATATATTAGCCACTAACAAACAAGAAACAAAACTGATTTTTAAGTCTAATTTGATTTTGTATTAAAAACCAAAGAGCAAGGCTTCTGGCATACCATAATGGGTTATTTAACTTCAAGTGCTTTACTATCATACTAATGCACCTAAACATACCATAGGAGAGCATAAAAAAACCTTAAGGAGCCGAGGGAGCCGAGGGGTGTGGGGAGAAAGAAAAAATATGCCCAGAGAAAAGACAGCCACGTCCTTCTACTTGAGAGAGGAAGAAGAAAAAAGCCCACACTGTGGGCTTCAGAGTTTGGGAGCAATATTGTCAGGCTGGAAACAAACAGCTGGACACAGACATTTAAGTGTGCTGGAGGAGGAACAAGACAAGCTGAAAAATAGGAAAGATTGAAGAAACAAATATAAAAAACTCAGAAACAAACGTGAAGAGATCAAGAAAAAGCAAAGCCAATAAGAAGCACTGAAAGACAAAAAATGAGAAGTGACAAAATTTAAGACTGATGCAGTAAAAATGACTGATGCCTGAAAAATTTGATTTGACTACTAGTTTTTAATCAGTTGGTTGCCAGAAAACTAGAAGTCTGTTTTGCCATCTGGTCCCAGATAAAGAAGCTTTTGTTGAGGTGAAATAATTAAGATACTGTAAATAGTCTTTCATTTTTAGCTCGGTAATTCAAAACTAGAACAGATTGGCGTGAGAGAATCAACACCCCAAAATGGCCTGTCAGGTTCCCTATCAAAAATGAGCTAATAATCTCGATGCCTTTTCCATATCCACATCACAAAAAAACAACAACTTTGGACACCTTTCATTGCTATCTGAGCAGAGGTCAAGGACTCATGTCCTTTCTTTCCCAGAAGTTGTCATTCTGAGACACCTTTTTGGGACAGCGCATGGAAACTTGCATGGCTGATGCCCATGCTGCACTGTTCTGTGCATTGATAGGAGGTCTCCACTCTCCGAGGCTGTTTACTTTCCACCTTTCACAAGCATTACAGTCACCTCAATTTCTTTTCTTTCTTTTTTTTAATTTCTCAAAACAATACAAACAAATCTTAAAAGATGCTTTATTGCATTGTTACCATTTCGTTTAAAGTTAGTGGTACCCTACATTTGATAAAGCTCTTCATTTATGAAGATATACTCTTCATTTATCCATTTGGTTTAGAATGCTAATCTCTTAAAAGGACCTAATCACCTTGTAAACACACTGACTTTCAAAGTGGAAACTTGTTGAAGCCTGAATAGAGTAAATTTTCCTATTACTTGCCTACCTTCTAGTCAACAAGTTAATCCTACAGGGTGTAATGCAAATTACTTTTCAGATCCTCCTAGCAGAAGGGCAAAAGGAAACACTGTTTCTAACGTACGACTAAAGCTTATTAAAAGGTTTTAGGAAAGATTGAACAGTCAGTCACTTTTAAAAATAGTAGTTTTTCATTTCTTTTTATTTTTAATACAGATACAATATTGTTCCAAGGTCACTTTAGTTTAATATTTAATAGCCTATATGGCATTTAAATGGCAATACCTTAAAAATCATTTCATGTTAAATGTATACAGTGAATTCTATAACACACAAAATGCAGTTTGAACTTTCCGTGCTCCAGAATGTTTTAGCAGCTTCCAAGAGGTTTTATTACACACTTTTGCATTTTCAAAGCCATCATCATCATCTGTTAAACAATGAAATCAAAATTTGTTTCAGAAACTGGGCCTCCCCACCACAAAATGAAGCATTTAACTCGGTAGATAACCCTTTGAGGATTTGGATGCAGCACTTGCAGAGCTGTCTTTATCATGATCCTCAAAATAGTGTTGCTCTATTCTCCTGCAAAAGGCCACGAGGTTGCTGTAGTTTTTCACTTTTTCAGAGAGTTCATCACTGGTCAGCTGAGTAGTAAGAATTGTGAACAGATGTCCAAATACCAATGCATCTAACTCAGTTGGCCTATAAAAGAGACAGGGGAAAAAGTGGGCCTCTGGGAGTCAGAAAACACTGAAAACCTTATAAGGAAAATCCTACTGTACTCTGTTTTTTTTTAAATATTAAAAAAACTCCAAGTATTTTCTCAAAGTAATCAAACTGGTCATATTTAACCAAATAAAGCTCAAGATTTAACAAATGCATAAAACCTTAAATACAGTAGAACCTCAGAATTATGAACACCAGAGTTACAAACTGACCAGTCAGCCATACACCTTGTTTGGAAGCAAATACAGTACAGCACTATGTTAAATGTAAACTACTAAAAAAATAAAGGGAAATTAAAAAAAAAAAAGATTTGACAAGGTAAGGAAACTGTTTCTGTGCTTGTTTCATTAAATTAAGGTGGTTAAAAGCAGCATTTTTCTTCTGCATAGTAAAGTTTCAAAGCTGTATTAAGTCAATGTTCCATTGTAAACTTTTGAAAGAACAACCATAATGTTTCGTTCAGAGTTACAAACGTTTCAGAGTTATGAACAACCTCCATTTCTGAGGTGTTCATAACTCTGAGGTTCTACCGTATTTTATATGTATACTAACAAATTTTGGCCTGAATTCTCAATTGCTGCTCAGTGCTCCCATTAACAAATGAGCGGTGTGGGGGGGTTGTTTTTTTTCCCAAACAGTGAAGAAGTTACAAAATACCTTTTCATAAAATGCATGCAAAGCCTACCCACTGACTCCTCTGTCCAGCACCAACTGTTTCTCACTTTTGATTTTGTGGGAAGGGAATCTATATTCCCAGTCTCCTCTGCAGATACTGTGCATAACAAAACTACCCCTTCGAACAGAATGGTGCTCTTCAAAACAGCAAAAACGCCACATCTCTCCTGGTCTTTTCAGCCACCAAAAATTCCTTGACTAGTGCGAAAAAGTAACTACATGGTAGTAGCATTTATGGCCATCTCTTTTGTGTTAAAGAGACTAAACAAATGGAAATAAAACACTGTAACCAAAGCCACCATAACCCAAAGGAGAACAGTGGTTTCTTGAATAAGTCTGCAGTCATACTCATGGCTATGTGTACAAGCCTTCCATAGCTTGACCTTAGTGAACTTTTTGCAGCTCTGGTCTATCTGCAAACAAAACAAAAAAAAAACCCCAAAAAACATTTTCCTTAAGTATATTTTAACAATTTAGAGCTTTTCTTCACTAATGTCCAAGAACTACATACTAAGTATTAATGAGCTAGAAGAATATTTTATGAGACTAATTATTGAGAAACTCTACTACTATTTACAGACAAAAAACATTAAAAAAATTAAAGGTTGAAAGCGTGTGTTATGGAATCCACCTAACACCCCCAAACAATAGCATATCCTTTACAAAACAAATACCACCTTTATAAAAGACTGTTCAGAATGCCTCAAAATGAATAGTTGGAATAATTGTTCTCTACTACTATGTAATCCTACAGCACTCACTCTCATCCAACTACACTGCCCACCTAACCTTAACTTTGCAAAATCTTTGGGGGAAAAGAGGCAAGAAACAAAATATTACAGCCTGCTAATTGAGGCATTTTTCCATCCCCACCTAATGTACTGGGGATCATAAACTGAGCTTTCTTCGGTCTGGTCCAAACTAACAAGTAACAGTCAGTTGAAGTAAACTTAACCTATGGGAAAAACCAAACAATCCAATATAGTTACTCAGTTTCCCAGTTCCTCCTTGCTTTCTGATTCTGTGACATAGCTGGACAAGAAAATTGCTTCCTCCCACCCTCAGATGCCTCCCCTCTGAATCCCACTGGCTCCTTCATATATCCTTGCTTTAATAAGCCGTCAGTTAACCCCTTCCCTGTCTCTATTAGTGTGTAATGTCACAAGCTAATTTTATTTAAGTGTCTTTGTAATTTCCCCATTCTCACTCCACCAAAAATACCTAAAACTGGCCCCCAGATACTGCCATAATCAGGGGAATGCAAAGGCAGCTTTAAAAAAAAAAATCACATACATCGCACTTGGAATGTATATTCTTTATGTAACTTCATGGTTCACATGCCATGGTGATGGGTGCAGTACATGAATATATTCAACATTATTTTAAATTCACAGTAATTACAAGAATATTTTTGGGAGAGTACACATTTGCAACTGGACCTGACTGACAATAGCAAAGGACATCTGGTATATGTCAGATCTGGGTCCGCGGTGGCTTTTCTGCAAAGGCCCAGAACAGTACTTACTCAAATCATAGCTGCTACTTTGTAATCAATCCTTTGTGGGGAGAAGACCAGTGTTTCCCCACAGTCATATGACTTCACAGGCATCTTCATGTGAACCCAACTCTTTAAAGTATGTCTACGCTGCAATCCAAAGTATGAATCCTTTACCTGCAGTAGCACAGCTAAAAACAGCAGCGTCGATGTGGAGACACAGGCTTCAGCACAAGCTAGCAACATGAGTATTTACCCAGGGTCCCCAGTGTGCTTGTTCAGGCCGTGCTGCTATTTTCATCTGTGCTAGCGCCCTTAAAGCTAGTGTGGTATGTCTACACGGGCTGCAATCACACCTTGGGATGCAGTGTAGACATAGCCTTCCCCGCCACTGTGTCACTTGAATTAACCTATGCAGGAAGCGCGGTTGGATCAAAATACATCTCATTCATTCTGCTTATCATGCATTAGCGCACTTACACTGATAGGTATCTAAGAAATGCCAACATATGCTAATGTAATTAAGTGGATTATTGCTTAGTTACCTATTAAAACTACAGGTTTCTCTTTTTACATTATATGTTTTTAACTGACAAACTATTGTGTATTCTGTATCATGTCAGTAGAAAATAGGATTAAGTCTAAAAAACACTAGAGAAAATATATGAAATATTTTATGGAAACTTAGTATCTTTTATAATTTCAGAAATTCTTATATATGCAATTTATGGATTCATTCCCACATGTTCCTTACTGCTCATAAGGTATTAAAATAAGGCAAAAATAGTCCCCATCCAGCTATGTTCTGGAGAGTAATATACCTACAGTACATTACATTTCCATATAAAATAACTTACTGCTTATTGAAGAAATATGATTGTGTTCCCAGTCTTTGAGAGAGAGCTTGACAACACTGATCTACATCTTCCAACACCTAAACAAACAAAAGATTAGTACAGTACCTAAATAGTCAGATGAGAACACAATTCTCTACAAAATAGCTCCCTTATTGCATACATAGGAGCAGTAGGCATTTGTAATAAATGACTAAATTAACTATGTAGATCATAGATGTTACACAGATTCCAATTACAAATCTTATTTCCAGACCTTCAATGACAAGTATGTTGTTGACATAAGGAAAGTTGCTAATATTCCTATTGTCAGTAATTGGGTTAAAATTAATATATCAAATGTTTACCTCTAAACTTCCTTGTATTTTTCTTGGAGCTCCAAGAACAAAATTGCCACAATCCTGCAAAGGGACCCCATTATCTTCACATGGGAATCAGAGTCCTTGTCTGCTAATCCCTTTCCAGGATCATGGTCTAAACTCACATAAACAGACATTCAGCACAGAGATACATATTCATGAGAAAACATCTTTCATTTTTCTCAGACTGTGTGTGTGATTTAAAAGTTTATTGCTGTTGAAGCCAGAGACATGGATTCCATAGACAATTGTTTTAAATGTATGGAGTTTCACAATACATATATTTTATGAAACATAGGAAATAAAATATTGCTTCTCTGGAATTTTGACACTTTTGATATTTTATTTATATGTATTTCATTGCTGAGAGGTTATTTAAAAAAGAAAAAACAGAATGAAGAATTCAACTCTGGCTATTATCTGACTGACCTGTTCAAGTGACTTGCCAGCCCATCCAATAGCTTTCATCTTACGTCTGATCTCCCATTGTTTCTGATAGGCCAAAATGCGATTGAGAGGCCAAGGATAAGGGGATCCATACCTTGGATGAGTAATCTTTGTTTAAAAAAAACCCACAAAAACAAAATCACTTTTTTAAAAAAAAAAAAAAAAGCAGGTAAGACAGTATGCTGTTATTTACAAAACAGCTATGGCTGTCATGGGTCAAAAGGCATTCACATTGGCTTTTGTAAAATATTAAGAAGTTACTCTGCACAGAAATTCATAGTTTGCAGCCTAAAGAAAAAGAAACCATTTACTCTATTACTCTAGCTGAAAAATATATAAAAACATATCTACTTTGCAGCCAGCTACCTTCAGTAATGACACACAGCTTCCCTAAAACGTATATGCAAGCAAAATTAAAGTGAAAAACTATATCATTAATGGTATAAACCTCAATGTTTCATTTATGAGTAGGGACTTGCATTTGCGAGCAAAAGTGTTTTCTCATTAAATTTTAATTAAGATAAATGCTGCAGAACCACTCACCTCCTGTACTGTAGTATCATCACACCACTGAAGATACAACTAGGGGAAAAAAATCACTTCTTTATTCTGAAATTTCAGTTAGACTGCACAGAGAGTTATTTCTAAATATTGATGTTTTCTTTTAAGTTAAATTAACAGCATATCCCACAAATATTTTAAGTCTAACAGTGCCTTCCATGAACACAAAAGAGAAGTTAATGGTGATGCTTACAAGACAAAAGCCTGGTTGCTAGTTCTCTTTCAGAACAGCCACCAGATCAGATTTGAAATTAAGATGGAGTTCAGAATACACTATATAAATTATGTGTCAACTTTCTTTACAGCTACATGTTAGTCTTTATAAACTCACCGCTGTTTTGTACAACAAAATTCAACCTCAATTCATGAAATTTTCATATGACATTTGTAAAGAGACCACAGAGAATGTGGAGTTCTTTTCTTGTAAGGACACTAGCTTATGAGTTGATGAACTATTTCCCAATCTAAGAATTTGAAAATAAAATACATTTTCCACATAGAAAAAAACCCCCTCCATTTTTGCCCACTTATCACCTACAAAATCAACAAATTATTATGGTTTGCTGTACCTCTGCTGTCAATAGCATATTATTGACTAATTCCATGTAGGCTTTCATCTCAGCTTTTTGGACTTCATCCAACCCATCACTGAGTGAATGGCCCTAAGGGGGTAAAAGAATATACAACCCTGTAAGAAAGGATATTACAATATTCAGCTAGGGCTTGAGCCAAAGTCAACAGAAGTCAATGTGCTTTAGATCAGGTCTTGATCTCTCTATATAGGTCTCTAAATCATAAAATAGATGGGTAAATATTATAAAGTACCTTCCATACTAAAATTACCTTCAGTATTAAACAGAAAATGTTCTATTGCAATATAATCAAACTCAAAAGACAAATGTAGATTTATTTTCAGCGACAGAACTACTGTGCATTTCTTTTTTAGCTGAGTACAACTTGATTTCATGGCTTCACTATTACTATGATTTCTTCTGTGTGAAGAAGTAAGTTGATGATATAAACAGTTTATCAAAATAAACTACTTAATAAGCAGACCCTGCTTTACAAGGATAGAACAAAGTAAAAGCAAATACAAACATATATTAGCTGAAATTTCAAGCCTTAAGCAAACACTGTATGTCTTTCTAAGAATACTATACTTGGGAGCCAAAAAAGAAGTGCTATTGCAAATTCTAGGTTATTTTTCAGCTCCTTGTTAACATGATGAAATCCTGTACTTACAGCTGATTTCTATCATTTGAATAAATGCCAGAGGAAAATACCCCCATCATACCATCACAAACCCCCATTACACCATATTTTCCTTAAGCAAAAGGTTACTGCCTGCATTGGGGTTAATATATTTGCCACATTGTAAAAATGCAGTTACCTTTACATTCATATGAGGTTTTTCTACCTTACTCTCTTAAAAACTAATTATGTCACATTTCATACTAGTAAGCTAAATGAGTGCAAATGCTAAAAAGAGTGTCTACCGTATTTAGCAGTTACTGATCAAGTATATTTAATATCCTTACCTTGGCTTTTACAAACTGGACTATGGGGCCAAGTTCAGATACTACTTGATTTCCTACACGAATAAAGGGTACTTTGCCTGCAGTGAGAGACAGTATATTTTTAGTAAATTAAACCTTTCAATACATACTGAGAATAATTTTTGAAATCATGGCTTTGAAGTGTTTCTGCACAAAGTCTATCAGATTGTACATGAGAGTGAACATGCAAAATTTCATTTGAGAGACACTTACAAATAGAGCCTCCCCACGCCTATCGCTTTAGTTCACACTTTTATGCTACGACTTGTCCTATTGATTGGCTTTCATGCTAACGTAGTGGTCCCCAAACTTTTCACCGTTGTGCCCCCCCTTACTCCTGTCCACCCCTCCACCCCCTAGGAACTAGGCCAGGAGCAGGGACATAGCTCAGGGGGTAGGGCGGTGGTCAGGAGTAAGGGGGCCAAGGCTGAGGCTGCAGCTGGGAACGGAGCCAAGGCCAGGAGCGGAGGCTGGGACTGGGAGCTTAGCTGCAGCCAGGGCGGCGGAGGCTTGAAGTGGGGCTAAGGCAGGGTGAGGAACCATGGTGGAGGCTGGTAGCCAGGGCTGCGGCTGGGTTCAGAGCTGTGGCCAGGCTGTGGTGGGGGCGGGCAGCTGTGGCTGGAGGCAGTGCTGGAGCAGAGCTGGGATGGAGCAGGGCTGCATGGTTGCTCCCTCCCTGCCCTCTGTAGGGGCTGGCCCGGGCCACACCATACCCTGCCTCCCCACCCCTAGGTGGACATGCCCCACAGTTTGGGGACTACTGCTCTAACAAATATTTGCAAGTTATTGTACAAATCGATAGGTCTCAATCCAATCATGAATTAATCTTGCTTTGCTGGGAAGATTATTAGTTCAATGTTCCCCAAAGCATAACTGTGGAAATCCCAGGAAAGTAAATAGAGCACTTGGCCGTCTTTATGAAACACCTACTTGACAGATACCATCTTTAAACACCAGTACATACACAGTGCTATGTAATTTTAAGAAATTTAGATTATATATATGTATTTTACATATTGTTATTTAATCACCTCAACATGATGGAGGAGATGTTGGACATTTTTTGTTTTATGTTAGTAAACATAGTTCACTGAATATGACGTAAGACAATAATGGAGTTAGCCAATAAACGAAACAGGTCACAATACACAAAAGGCTCTCAAGGAGAGACAAGGAAAATGAGGACAGAAAAGTGTGTCTTCACAGAATATTTTAAAAGAACAAACCAAAGTCAAATATTATTTACAGGGTTTTTAAAAGTAATATAATTTGAAAGATATTAATGAAAATATTAAGAAGTCCAACCATATGCCAAACGCACAGAACCTACTACTAGACCTAGTTCAAACAGAGATCATAACAACATCTGGTTCAGTCATGGTCTTTATCATGAGATTCACTCCTCTCTGATTCACAGTCAGCCTAAGGGTAACAGATGAGGTGCACTGCACCAACAAAAACCTCATCTGCAGCCATATGATGACATATTACAATAGAAATGCAAAGTTTTCTGAATTGCAAAAACTATGGTTTATGTTGCTAGCATATAAAGATGATCCTTTGGTATTCCTATATCCACAGTCAGCATTTGACTCCCTCAAAAGGATCTTCTAGTTGTGAAAAGTAAGTATCATTGCAAAGTATCCTGCACAAGTGTGGAGATGCACGTCTGAGAACCACTGCAATCAGTTTGAGATTTTTTTCAGGAATGAAAACCTTTTATGAATAGCCTGTTTTGGTTGGAATTAATTTTAAAATGTTATTAAAACGATATTGAAGTAAACAGAAAAACAAGGACAACAGTGCGCAAAAATAGTAGGGGCACTTAGGACGATGAATAAATCACCACATTTCTACTCCTAGCTGTATTTAAAATGGAACCAGTATGACAAATAGAATATCCTAGATGTGATCCGTACAGCACAACTCTCATCAGCCCCTGTCAGTCATGCTCCTTTCTGCATTATTTAGCCAGTGGTATAGAAAAAAAGCTGCAGACACAAGTAATGGTGTATTAGATAATAGCCATGTGGCTGGGAGGAAGGGAGTGCAAGAGGTGGAAAATGCAAGTATCACCACTCCTATTCCCATGCATGTAAGATACTGGCTTGTTTCTACAAAGAGTCAGCCCATTGCGTTTATTTTGAAAGACTGATTTAAAAAAAAAAATCCTGGTTTTGCTACAAGAACTGTACTGTTTTCAGTGCTACCAATCATTGAGATTTTTTTTAAAGCATTAATTAAAGACAGGATTCCAGCTTATTTTCCACTAATACCAAGGAGGACCAGAGCTAACCATGCAGTATGCAAATACAAAGACCCATGTAGGCAAGCATTTTTACTACTCCATACTCGAATTAAAAATTATAGAAGTAGCTTAATTTAACTCACACAAACGGATCCTAATGCAATGAAGAATTTTAGGATATCAGAACTGTGTTGTGCATTCAGCAATTCTTTTCTAGTAACCTTTTAGATGAGAGTGTATAGAAATTTCCAACATAATTTGGGATAGCATACACATCAAATACTGAATCTGCGTTTTTTGCAATCAGAAGAGGACTGAAGTACAACACTGTTCTTGGTACTGATAGTTTATCCATGATCTGTCCACAATTATTAACATGCTGACAATCACCTTCCACCTAAGATTACAAAATGCATTTCTTCCCACCCTTACAACAGTGGAAAATGGAACACCATTGATTGGCCAACAGGGTATTCCCAGGGGTATCTCCCTGGAGATCAGAAGAGATACTTCTGCGTACAGAAATCTTTGGGGTTGAGAAGGCCAAGAGTCCCTACGCTTTTTCTGAGAGTGTTACCACCAGACTTCTGAGTAACCAAGTACGTGAATCCACTGTATGTCCACTGCATTTAAAATTGCAATGCAGCACATTTAAAAAATTTGTATTTGATTTATCTCATTCTCTATAGAGAAAAATCGCAGTAGACTAAGGAAAAAAATAAAGAGGCAACCCACATACACAAGCACTGACTGGCTGTTATCTGCAAGATGAGGTGCTGTTGCCATGGTATCAAAACATAGGTACTAACACAGTAATTTAAATGAACACCACACTTACCAGATGGGGACATATATTCTGCATTTGCTCTACAAACCACCTGGACTGGCAGATTGCACATTTGCAAAAAGGCCTGGAAACAAAGAGGAGCACAGAAATAGGAAAACACGTATTAGCTGATAGCAAAACATGGATTTGTTTTAAATATATTAAACTAATACTTAGCACAATGTTTATAAAGTACAGATATCTGTATTCTGTTTTAGGGAAAATAGAAAAGGAAAGAAAAAAAAATATAAAACTTCATTGGACAATAGTGTATAAGGATATTGTCCAAAATCATTAGGAAGAATTCTTCTGTTTAACAAAGTTGCATCTGTTTTTCCCATTTTATGGTGGCATTTGACTGCCAAAGTTACTGTTGTTTATAAAAAGAAAAGGAGGACTTGTGGCATCTTAGAGACTAACCAATTTATTTGAGCATAAGCTTTTGTGAGCTACAGCTCACTTCATCCGATGTGCTGGAAATGGCCCAACTTGATTATCATACACGTTGTAAGGAGAGTGGTCACTTTAGATAAGCTGTTACCAGCAGGAGAGTGGGGTGGGAGGAGGTATTGTTTCATATTCTCTGTGTATATATAATGTCTGCTGCAGTTTCCACAGCATGCATCCGATGAAGTGAGCTGAAGCTCACGAAAGCTTATGCTCAAATAAATTGGTTCGTCTCCAAGGTGCCACAAGTCCTCCTGTTCTTTTTGCGAATACAGACTAACCCGGCTGCTACTCTGAAACCTGTTGTTTATAAGTCACCAATAATCGTTCTAAGTGACATTTTGTCAACCTGAACACTGGGGCACAAATCTTCTGTGGTTGTTACTGACTAATATGCTCAGAGAACAAGCCCCAGCATGTGCTACAACTCTAACATATTTTAAACAAAAAAAAACACAAAACACACAACACACCACACACACTACAGGTCCTTCTGCTGCCATATTTTCACTAGCCAACATTTTCACGATTTTTGCTTTGCAATTCTGCTAGATTAAAAGGCAGTGTTTATTACCAATAAAGTTTACTTGAATTAAGGATATAGTTGACTAATGTAATGGTTTTTTATATCTATCTATAACCCTGGACAAAGCCATTTCCACAGGATACTAATTTTTATCAGCGGCAGTCATCATCATAAAGTACTTACAGTGTTTCTGTGTAAGAATAAAATAACTTTCACAAGGTAACTCTCACTTGTGATAGTGAGAGCATGGCAAGTATAAATAACCTTTCAAGCTCAGTGGTGAGGAACACAATGTTAAATCCTATTGGGTATTTGGCATTCGCCTTTGCCAGCCAAAAGGCCAAAATCTCAAATTCCAAATCTGAAAGCTATTAATCCAGACTTGAGCCCTTCACTACTTTCTGAACAAAGGCAGGTACAACTAAATTATTTGTAAAGAGAATCTACTGCACATAAAAAGAAGTTTCATTATGATTTTAAGGATGGTATATGGACTTAACATGCATGCATGACAGCTTTGTTAACATAGCAGACCAGTAGGGTCTATCTGTTATATTGTGTGACACTGGCAGACCAGGTTTCAGCTCATGCCAGGGTCCCCATGTCTCAACTGAACACTGACGAACAAACAACTGGAATCAGTCTGGCTCACCTGTGTATTATCTTTAGGACTAGGATTATATAAGAATATGTTTAGTGTTTACACTTTATTGAATGCTTGTAAATTGCTGCATGCATTAATCTCACTTATAGCATCTATATCCTATATTGTAAGGTAATATTTAGGAATTTGGATCGTAAACCTCTATGACTGGGTAAATCACCAGACAGGAGAAAGACATTAACTAGTGTAAAGTACTGGTCTCCAACAGAAGGTGCAACATCCTGGCCAACAAGGAAGTCCCATCAACACCAGACAGACTATTGTGGAACATTAAAGAGAACAATAGATTGTGATGCTCTGCACTCCTCCCCTCCCCATGAAGAGGAATCATGCAAGTAAATTCATCTCATCAGCTGAGTTTGCAGCTCAGCGCGGGCGGGGGGGGGGGGGGGAGCAGGAGGGAGGGGGGGGAATAAAAAACCCTAACAAGAAGGAACGATATCTCTATGCTGCTTGGACTCTAGGGGGCAAGGTTTTCTAAGCACAAGCAAGGAATCCCCAGCTGCTTAGCTCGGGTTAGCCCTAAAGAACATATACAGCTTGCTTATTATAGAAGCTTCTATTACCTTTTGAAACTTAAGATTGTAACTCATTTGTGTATAATGTTTAACTGCTTTAATCTTGTAAATAACTCATTTTCTTTTCGTATTAATAAATCTGTCGATAGTTTATTTCAGTCTGCCCGGTACTTGAACCACTGCAGAAGAGCTTGACTTATTGATCAAGGTGAAAAGGGCTATTTCTGGTTCAAAGTACACAACCTCCCAGGAAAGAAAAACAGTCTTTTTCTACCTTTATTTTGGAAACAATCCCAGCCTGAGGAATGTATATTTTTTGCAGTTGTTTCAGTTCTACTGAATACAATTTTACTTGTATTAAAAAGACAAACTAATGTATGAAAATAAACTTTAACTAAAGGTAAGATTGTCACATAAACCAAGAAAAATTCAAATCTTAAATTGACACTTGCCTGTTGCCCACTATGCACAAGTGTGCCATCACTGTGTGATTTAATGTACCAAATATTCTACAATAGTCAGGCACTAGGGGGCAAGTTTAATACATGGCTTTATATTTTTGGCCAAACAACTCTTCTTTCTTTATTATAATTTCAGTTTAGTAAAAATATTGAAATTAGGATTAATTTAAGAACACACTTCAAAGCCCTGGTTTCCTTCTCCTGATTTAAGTCAGAGGCTGAGGAAATCTTGCTCTCATGTTTTGTGGCTAGAATGATGCCAGAGAGCTTAGAAGAGTATGTCTCAAATCAGTCTCAACCAGTAGAGACTATACTAAAATACCATCTAAACTAACAGCATTTCCTTCCCTCCACTTCATTTAACCTCCTCCAAGAGTTTAGTTTGGGAAATAAGAATAAATTTAGATCACTGATCTTTGGTAGGACTTGGGAAGAGTGAAGTTAAGGAAGATAACCAGCAACCCACTGAATAGTTAGGAAAAGCACAGAAACTGAATGAGACACACAGAAAGGAGGTCCCCTCACAGACTGCCGGATGACGGCTTCTCCAGCCACACACTGAGTAGGCAGTAGGAAGAAGAGCCTTTTACCCCCAGCCGGAGGACAGCCAGGAGCTGGGACAGTTGCCAGGAACCAGCTTCTTCCTTGGCCACTGTGCGAAGAGACTCAGTCAGCATTCTTAAACTCACCTGGTTCCCTTCTGCTGTGCAGAGATATGAGGAGATTGCTGCTTCTAGGGAGCCCAGCTCTTATATGGCAACAGTCCTACCTCAGGGATAAAAATATCTTCACACATTTGCTCACATCATTGCAAAAAAAAAAACAAACAGCTACTCAGCTGCCTGTCAACAGCAGTCCTCCTTTCCTGTTTTCCTCTGCTCCGTTCAGCTCCATTCCCCACAAAACAGCACCAGGACAGTTGTCTCATCCCCATCTAGGGTGACCAGACAACAAGTGTAAAAAATTGGGACGGGGGCGGGGGGTAATAGGTGCCTATATAAGAAAAAGCCCCCAAAATCGGGACTGTCCCTATAAAATCGGGACATCTGCCTAAACATCCTGGTTCTGCTCTATCCTGCCCTAATTCCTGTGTTCAACCAGGAAGCATAAGCAATGGCTGGGAAATAAGATTTTTTTTTAAAAACCCAAAACTTATTAAAAAACTGATTGAAACCTTCAGCATAAGCCTCCCAATACCAAATAAGCTATTAGAAGTCATAAAAGCCTTTAATGTATAGGGCATTTGTCTTAACTTTGAATTTCCTTTCTTTGTTATTCTGGGACTGTATGTATTTTTTTAAGTACCTTTGCATACAAATAGGCCCATTCTCTCTCCATAAGGTCATCTAAAAAGACTGGTGTACAACATACTTTATAAAACCCAATATGCAAGGTCCACTAGAGAAGGGCCTATATGTAACCCCAAATACAAACACTCCTGAACTTCGGGACAGTGTTGGCTCCATATGTACTAGCTATCTTATGAACTAATTAAAAAACAGGAATTTGATTTTATATTCTATGTACTGGTAGAGTAGGAGTATGTACAGAATTTTAGACACAATATGCAGGTGTAATATACATAGGTTACTAATTTTGCATGGCTTTCAAAGCTGTATCTGGGCATGCAGAAATGTAAATAGCATTCAATCAGCAATACAGCATTATAGTGCTAACAGTGTACATCTCAAATGACAGCTTCGAGAAATACAACCTTTCAGGAGCAAAACATTCTTAAATTAATTTATCACACCTCAAATCCATGCTCTTATTCCCTAGCTGTTTATTTCCTTCTTGAAAAGTAGCTGAAGTTTAATTTTGTCCAGGCTTGCCACAGTAATTCCCTTTGCAATAGGGCACTAAATTAACTTCAGGATTCTACATCTAGCTGGAGGTGAATTTTTATAGCTGCCATGTGCTGTTCTCAATGCTGGTTCTAAAGAAAGTGTGCCTGAATTATCCTGGAGTCAGTGCAGCAAGCAAGTCATCTCAGAGCTTTTAAATGTAGTGGTACATGGAAGGATAGGATTGTATGCCAAAGAACTATCACTGACCTTTTCAGGTCTGAACAATGTAGCTTTACAGACATAAATTCATAGTGTAGATCAAGCCATAGTCTTTTCCTTCCAGAGATAGACCTCACAAATGCAAGCCAATAATTAGGGAGGCTTTTCAATGAAAAAAAAAAAATCTACAAAATTAAAGCTGATCACACAAGCAGCAATGGCCATCAGAATTAGAAAGTTCTTCTAATTCTTATTTTGCCAGATCTTAGCTGGAGAAATTGACGTGGGAATCACTTCAGATAAAGTTAACTGGATTCATTCATCCATCCATCCTCCCTCCTGCAGTGCCCCACCCCACAAGCCTTAGGTTCATTATGGTTTCCTCTTTCCCTAAGCTTCAGTAGGCTCCCCCTGTGATGTTATTGACATGAACTGTGATCAGTGTTGCAACCAGGGTCCTATGGTTGCACCAGGTCTTGTACAGAGGAGGTCAAGTGAGGTGTCTATTGAAAGGTTGTATGTAGTTTGCTAGTCATGATTATGCTGTCTGTATGTGTGTATCATTTTTGTATTTGAAGTTATGAATATTGGCTATGTACTTGTATCTCAATGTGTTTGAGTCTAAGTAGCCTCAGTGAACTACTTGGTCAGCTTCTTGAGAAAGGACTATTGTCAGTAAGTGCCAAACCAAGAAACACTTAACTGACAATAGACTTTGATAGACGCCAATTCACATCTGAGCTTTCCTGGGACCGTTCAAACTAAAATGTAAACAATGGCCTCGGCCTGCAAAAAGCTAAATCATTCATGAACATGTGACTTGCCCAGGTGGCTACAAACTACATCTTGTTGCTTTGACTTTGCACAGAAGAACAAAGGGGTTTCCACCCACAAGAGAGAGAATATAAAAGGCCCCGGAAGCCTCTCCATTTTGTCTTCAGCTGGCTCAAGAGATGGCCCCTCAACCCCCAAGAGATGAAGGAAACTGGAACAAAGGACGGTAATTATGGGGGTGTGAGTGATTGCTGGACCCAGACTAGGAAGGAGTCCAGTCTGTGAAAGAAACTTACTGGAACATCTCTGGGGATAAGATTTCATCTGTAATCAGTTTCTTAATGTATTAGGCTTAGACTTGTGTGTTTTGCTTTATTTTGTTTGGTAACTTACTTTGTTCTGTCTGTTATTACTTGGAACCACTTAAATCTTACTTTTTATACTTAATAAAATCACCTTTGGTTATTATTGAACCCAGAGTAAGTGATTAATACCTGAAGGAGCAAACAGCTGTGCATCTCCCTCTATCAGTGTTATAAAGGGGGGGGACAATTTATGAGTTTACCCTGTATAAGCTTTATACAGACTAAAACAGATTTATTTGGGATTTGGATCCCATTGGGAGCTGGGTGTCTGGGTGCTAGAGACAGGAGCATTTGCTAAGCCATTTTCAGTTAAGTCTGCAGCTTTGGGGCACGTGGTTCAGACCCTGGGTCTGTGCTGGAGCAGACTGGCATGTCTGGCTCAACAAAGCAGGGTTCTGAAGTTCCAAGCTGGCAGGGAAAATGGGCTCAGAGGTAGTCTCAGCACATCAGGTGGCAGTTCCAAGGGGGTCTCTGTGACTGAACCCGTCACACCCTCATCCTCTACAATCGTGAGCAGGATCATCAGATCCCAACAAGCCTTGGGTCTTGCCTTCAATCATAGGCAGTGGGTGGCGAGGGCTACAGGAGGCTCCAAATCTCCCCAAATCTCTGTCCGGCTGTGCCAGGGCCATGAAGAGGATGGCAAAGGAGAGTCCTGAGGGAGGGGAGAGATCCTGAGGCCCCATGTTTAGCGCCACCAGAGCCAGGAAGGAGACAGGGCGTCGTGAGGGAAGGGCCCCACCTGCGTGTGGATGTGCACGTCAAGTGACGCTGTGGCAGGTTCCTCCGAATCTACATTGAGAGCCAACAGGCCAAAGTGGGGAACTGGGCCCAGCCCTGTGGGACTGGAGCCACCGCTTCAGAATGAGTGAGGGATGGGCTCAGAACATCCAAAGAATACTTTCACCAGCTGCCTATGCCTACACTTGGAATTATCTTTGAGTGGAACCATCAGAATTGCTTCACTGGTACAAACTCCAGGTAAGAAAAGTTGTGATTTACACAGGTAGAGTTTTCCTCCGCTTCAAACTGCAGTAAGTTCACTCATTGTGAATTGCTGCTTTCTTTGCCTGTGCTAGAGATTTGCAATGGTTCAACCTCTGGTTGAACTGGGCTAACAGACAAGATAGAACTAAGCGAGAAAGCAAGCAGGCAGGAGATTTGGAGGCAAATAGACCAAGGGAGGTTATTTCTCCACTCCCCACATGCAGAAGTCCTTCTAAGATTTACTACATTAAGATTCTTCTATTATTTATTTGTATTACCATAGTGCCTAGGAGGTCTAGTCACAAACCAGAACTCTACTTTGCTAGGTGCTGTACAAACAGAGAACAAAGGCAATATCTGCCCCCAAGAGCTCGCAATCCACTGTGGGCTTCCTCAAGTCTCAGGGAAACAAACTCTTCCCCAGCAGACCTTTGACCATTTAAAAAAATAAAATAAGAAAATTCCCACATAAACTTTGTTAAAAATAATTAAGGTTCCAGACACTTAACATACACTCAAAACACTAACTTACCAGAACATGAGAGTTGGAAGAACCCCGAAGTGTTAAAGACCTAGGAAATTCAGAGGTAATTACTTATATATTTTCAACTGCTTAGGGTTTTAAGTTCACAATTAAGGTATCCAAATGAACTTAAAGAAATGGAACTCAAAGTGCCTTATTACCCATCCACATCAGTAATTACAAAAACTAGAATGTTTTAATCAATCACATGGCAGCTGTGCCAACTCTGGCTTTCTTTATGGAATCATAGAACTGGAAGGGACCTTGAGAGGCCATCTAGTCCAGTCCTCTGCACTCTTGGCAGACTAAGTATTATCTAGACCATCCCTCACAGGTGTTTGTCTAACCTGAGCTTAAAAACCTCCAATGATGGAGATTCCACAACCTCCCTAGGCAATTTATTCCAGTGCATAACCACCCTGACAGCTAGGAAGTTTTTCCTAATGCCCAACCTAAACTTCCCTTGCTTTGATTTAAGCCTTGTTCTTTCCCTATTTTATCCTCTTCTGTTCCTACCTCATTTTCACGGGTATTCACTATGTTAGACGTCCAATCCCATCAACCTTCTTGGTGAAAACTGAAACAAAGAAGTCATTAAGCACCTCTGCCATCTCCACATTTTCTGTTATTGTTTCCCCCCATTGAGTAATGGTCCTATCCGTCCTCTTGCTTCTAATGTATTTGTAGAATGTTTCTTGTTACCTTTTATGTCTCTAGCTAGTTTCATCTTGTTTTGTGCCTTGGCCTTTCTAATTTTGTCCCTACCTACTTGTGTAGTTTGTTTATATTCATCCGTTGTAATTTAACCTACTTTCCACTTTTTGTAGGACTCTTTTTTGATTTTTAGACCATTGAAGATCTCCTGGTTAAGCCAGGTGGTCTCTTGCCATATTTCCTCTCTCTCCTACGCAGTGGGGTTGTTTGCTCTTGTGCCCTTAATATGGTCATTCACCATTCACAGCGGGGAGAGGAGGTGACTGACACTTTTTCACAATCTGTGTAATATCTTCCTAATCAGGAATTTATAAACATTCTTCCTCATAGAGGCATTATCCTGTAAGGTGCTGAGAACTCTTAATGTATGTGCGGGTGGAGAGAGGGCGGAGGTCAGGGGTGCGATTATACAATTTCCCAGATTTCACCACCCATTCATAAATATTGGGGCTGGTCTACGATGAAAACTTACATCAGCATAGCTATGTCTCTCAAGTGTGAAAAAATCTACACCCCTAAAAGACGTAGCTATGCTGACCTCACCCCCTATGTAGACAGTGCTAGGTTGATGGAAGAATTCATCTGTTGACCTGGCTACTGCCTCTCAGGGAGGTTGATTAACTACAGAGACAGGAAAACCCCTCCCGTCACTGTCATGAGTGTATACACTGAAGTGCTGCAGTTGTGCCAGACTATAGCGTTTTAAGTGTAGGCATAGCCTTAGACAATTTATTTCACTATTATAACTTTCACATTCTCCTGTATTAATGTGATTGACAGAGTTGGTAAATTATGAGCATTAAAAACTTAACGGAATACCACAATTAAAAACATGGTAAGCACAGTTAATGCTTTTCATGCAAATGACAATTATGTTATCCCCTAGATCATTTGAGGGTAAGGGAATCACAAGCAACATATGCTTATAGGTATGTATTGCCAGATAATTTTGACTGCTTTTTTGATACAGTAAACATTATTATATGAAGAGAAAGCAGTGGATTAATATATTTGGATTCTAGTAAGCATTTGATAAAGTGTCAAGGAAATTACTCAAAATTAGTTTAAATTGTCTGGATTTGAATAATCATGAGGAGAGAAAACAGACAAAGACCACAAACAAAAAGGCACAAAAAGTGACAATGGACTGAGTTGGGGATATTTGGGAGGAAGGGTCTAGTGGACAATGCATAGATCTTTGTTAGGCTTGATCTTATTTAAGATCTTCTTTAGTGACTAAAAAGGAGTGAGCAGCACAAAGTGTATAAATGATACTAAACTGGAGTGCATTGCAATACCAGCAGGAATAAAAAAATAATAATAGAATATTGATGACTTTGCAGCCCCAAGTATCTCATTTTCTCACCATAGTACCTTCCATATATGAAGAGTGGAGGGGTGACAAGTTGGAGTTCTACTTCACCTTTTATAGAAGAGCCCTTGTGACAGTAGGGGATTACCCAACATTCTCTTGGACTTTTCAAAGAGAAGAGATTGGAATCACTCCAACTCAATTCTGCTAAGGTCCACAAACACATCAGTTCTACTTCACAGTCAATGGTAGCGAAGGCAGACATATCTATTGGTTCAATATTCATCAACAGAGATCAGTCAACCAAACCTATGCAGTCTCTGTCCCATATTCAGGCCTAAAATCAGAATACAAAGGGCCAAGGAAATTTGATTCTAGATGACACAAGAAGTTGCTATGCCAAATCCTTCTTTAAAAAGGAAAAAAACCCGTCCCCAAAAGGTTAGGAACTGGGCAATAACTGGGAAGATGACTAATATCAAAAGATAGTTCATTGAGAGTGGGCACAACAATCACTTGTTGAAAAGATGCCAACACCTCTAATGGGAAGCATTAATCTCTATCAAGAGTGCATCCAACTCCCCCCATAAATTATTTTACAAGCCAGGAGGGGTTCAGTTTGCAGGCCAAAACCTAACGTTCCCCCAAGACCTTCAGAACCTCATATAGGAAAAATGTAGCATTTGCACACATCCACTGACCTCAGCCTGGATCTATTACCCAAGCAGCAGCCAAATCTTAGTAATCTTGCCAATGAGCTCTTTAAGGGAAATATTCTACTCTGAGTGAACACAGTGCAGATTCACCCCTTGCAACACATCTGCCACTCATAACTTCAGATGGAAAAGTTTTCACAGCTATTTTAGTCAGGAAAAATGTTCATAGCTTTCCAGGTCCCCCTCTAGGGAAGTCTTAGCCCTCTCAGCCAAAAATACTCAAATACCAATAGAAAAAGGAGAACAGCTTCAAAATGCAAACTGAACTCCTATTTGGTAGCTTAAAAAGAGAAAATGTCTTTTTCTGACTTATTAGCATCTGGCCATAAGAGCTGGGGTAGATTAACAGAAATATTTAAAATCAAGAAGAATAAAGTGAAAACTGATCAGTCTTCTTCTTATTTCCCTAGCCTGTATTATAACAATAAGGGATGGTAGCAACAATACTAGTAGTGTCCAGCACACTTATAAAAGTAAAGGAAACTTCCTACAAGAGTCAACGTGGAATTCATTGTCACAGGAAGATATCAAGCCAAATATTCAGGCTGGATTTTAAAAAGACTCGATTTTATGGCCTGTATTTGTAGTTCAGCATGCTATGATAACAGTAATCAAATCTCATATTTCTGGGTATAAGATTATTGCCACTGGCATCAAGAATTCCTTCCCTATCCACCCATCCCATGGGATCTCATGGAGGGGTTTGCGTTCTTCTGAAGCAATGATATTGGCCACTGCCAGAAGCAGAACATCAAACAAGCTGGACCTGCAGTGCAATCCAGTATGGCAAGTCCTATATGACCAATATAGCCTTTGAGGGTTATATTCTATTAAAAATTGCTCCTAAAACTGAAGGTATGTTGTCCTCTCAGTGACTGAGGTTATTAAGCTTGTGGCAGACAAACAATCCATCTCCTAAAGCACAATGTATTCCCGTAAAGGACCTTAGTTTGCTGATTTCATGTGCATTTTTGGTTCCACTTAGTAGTAGCAGCAGCATCTATTTTATTTTGAATGTCAGTATGGAACAAAAAAGTGCATTTTAACTGCAGGAGAATGAACTAACAGCAGATATGCAGAAAGGGCTCATGTCAAACTTTAACATGCCACGTGTTATGAAACTAATAAACTTCTTTCACAGGTCTTTCATTTTAATCAAGGGAGATTGCACATCCTATCAAAATAGCATTGTTACCCATGTCAGCCAGTTCTAAGATGCTCCTATATATTGCCTTACAAAGTCAAGTTACTGAGCACATGGTGTCTTTTAATATTAATAATCAGAAAAAAAATAAGTTTTCAGCCTCTGTATGAGCTTTTGAAAATGGATTTCACCTGTAAATTTAGTTTGATTTTAGGTGAAAGAACTGTTAACTAAGAAAGCATGTGAGTCTATATTAATTGAGAGAATTTGAATGGGACACAGTGTGATTCAATTAAAAGAACAAGAAACAACAACAACATTGCTTAAAATAAGACCATCAACTTGTTTTATTTCCCCAATGTCAGAAAATCCAATTTTCTGATAGAGCACCCTTTAAATAGCATGTGCTGAATTTTGGTTAGCATTAAAAATAAAGAGAATACTCTTCCTGAACACATTGCTAAGGTTCAGAAGGGATTTGGGGCAGGCCAAGAGGACACAGCAGGGTTTGCTCAGTGTCCCTCTCCTTTCTCTGTATGCTCACACATGCCTGCCATTTTCACCTTTGCTGCTGCTTTTGAAAGTTCCCCTCAGAACTATGCAATAGACTGATGTCATCATACTAGGGCATAAAATGGGAAATAAAAATGACTATACACAGTGCTATTAGAGAGCGAAGGTGAGTGAGGTAATATCTTTTATTGGACCAACTTCTGCTGGTGAGAGAGACAAGCTTTGAAGCTTACACAGAATTCATCTTCACTCCTGTTAAATGTACAAAGTAAAATAAACAAAATAGAAGATTTATTCTCTTTAACCTTTCAGTTAGTCATCCGAGGTGTTACTTGAACACTAGTAGGTACAAAAAAATTTTTTTTTCAAACAGAAATGTTATTTTTCAAGTTGACAATGCGTCTACTACTCCAAAGTATCTCTTAGTGAATCATCCACTAGGTTTTTCCATCTCAAAGCAGAAAATACACATCCACTAAAAACAATACTCTAAGCATAAATTCCAATTGGATGTAAATAATATCAAGATTTCAGTATTTAAGGTCAGAATCATTACCTCCCGCCCTCTTATTCCAGAGTTCGGACAGTTCGCATTCTATATCCCTGTATGAGAAACCCTACTTTCAGATGACAAGCTCCAGGCTTCTTTC